ATATATATATATATATATAATCATTTAAATTAATCATTTATATATAAAATTACACATATGATTTATATTTATTTTGAATAAATAATTTAAAATATTAAAAATAGTTACATATCTATATCAATAATATTTTTTTAATTTAATTATATTTCTTTTAAAAATTTTATTTAAAAATTTAATTTCCCCTACTTTTTACTTATTTCTATTTTTATCAAATAACTATAATGTCTAATATATTTATTATCTATTTTTATCAAATTATTAATCACTTTCCTTTTTCTCTTTCAATCATTTTTCCCTTTCTCGAATACAACAATAAAGTTTAAATCAATGTGTTACCTAAAGGCACACGCCATAACAAAATCCAAACAATGGTGGAAGTGATGACTTGTTACTTGTTAGAGTAGTTTAGTGTTGCTTCGCTTCTTTGATATCTTATGCATTTTCTCTCTCTCTCTCTCTAAATTGTGGCTGCAAAGGGTGCTCAAAGCATGTTGATTTTGTTTCTTTCGATATACGACATCTCACATTTCTTGTTGTAAGTTGATAAGTGGAAGATTGAACAATTTCAAAAATGACTTTTTCTTTTTACAAATTATTTGAAATAAATAAACTCAGACTTTGGCATAAGTATATAGTTTAGCAGTTTCCATCTCTGTCAAGAAATTAGTCAATTACAATAACAAGTATTTATCTATCTAGCAAAGATCAAGTTACCATGTTCAAAGGATAATGATAGTCGAGTTTTTATTAATTTGTATTGATCAAAAGATATATTTCTTTAGGGGTGTTATTTTGTTGTTCTCAAATTTGAATAAAAGATTATTTTGATAATTTGTGAAACTTGTACTTTGGCATACAGTAACGTCTACTCTTTTTTTTTTTTTTTTCCCTTCTTTTTCTAACAATTTATTTCAATAAACTCGTACTTTGGCATAATACATAATAAGTATAATAATTCCCATCTTTGTCAAGCAATTAGTCAACTATTCGATTACAATAACAAGCATTTATCTATTTAGCAAAGACCAAGCTACCTTCAAATTTTGTTAAAAAAATACCACCTTCAAATTTAAAGAATAACGACTAGAAAGAAGAAAAAAAAAATAGATGCCATTTGAGCATACATACCTTGAGAGAGATAAAAAAAGAAGAAGGAATAGATAGATGATTACTATGATTCGTGATATGATTTTACAAGAAAAGTGAATAAAAGAATTGTGTTATTTTTTTTTGCAACAGGTTATTTGGTCGTATGAAAATGTGAAAATGTCTGAAAAAAAAAGGGTCAGTTGACTTTTAACCCTTATTTAGTTAGTGAAAGATGGATAAAGGAAGACGAGAAAGGATGAAATATTACTGTATGCGACATTTTTAATAAAATTTTTTTTATATCAATTTTAAATTTATTATAGATTTTGATGATGTAGAATGTTTTAACCTTTTATATTTATTATAAAATTAATTAATAGTCTTAACTTATTATATAAAAATAATTGATATAAAATGTCTTAATTTTTAGGTTAATTATTGTTTATTTGTCATGTTCTTTTTTTTTATATCATATTTCTTTATTTTTCATCGTTGCGTTTTTTTTTATCTTATTGTCGTATCACTTCACATCTCGCTATCACATTTTTTTTAGTTGCATCTCTTCACATTTTGTCACCACATTTTTTTTCTCAAATGGTATCTCAAATTCTGAGTATGAACAAATGAAAAATGAAAAATTTTGTTTCAAATTTGTCTGAAGAAAACAAAACATTGAAAGAACAATTGCAAAGCCATGGAGATTTGATTCGTGCTTCACAGGAAGAGTCTCGGTTGGTTCATGAGCAACTAAAGCAATTTATGGAGATGTTTTCTCTCGGGCTAGCTTCTCAATCTTCTCGTCCCACACATGATACTGACACTATACAATCTGATGATAATGAGTTAGATGATGATCATGATATAGATATTTAAGGATGCATTATCTTTTACTATTATTAATATTTACTATGCTTTAAACTTATACTTTGTTATGTTATTATAGTACTTATCATACATTAGGGATCAACTAAAGTCCTTAACTTTGTTATATTTGGTGTTATTTATATCTATCATATGCTTGACTTTCTTATATTCATGTTTAGTTACATGCTTTTATAAAATTGAGAAATTTTTCTTAATTATTTATTTTGTTAATTTTTTAAACAAATAGACAATTAATAAATTCAACTTTTTGGATTAATTAATAAATTATTTGTTATATTCATAATTAAAAAATTATATCACAAATAGAGGAGAAAAACATATTCTTCACAAATAGTTATGAAAAAAGTCCTTTACTAAATAAGATCAATATATAATTCACAATTTGTGACAGAATTTATTCATCACAATTTGTGACGAACATGCATCCCTCTCAACTTGTGACATTAATAAGAGACACATATCCCTCACAAATTTGTGACGGAGTTAGTCCCTCACAAATTTGTGATGGAGTTAATTCCTACAAATTGCGACGGAGATAAAAGTCGTTACAAATTACGACGAATTTTTATTAATTTATAAATATTTATTATTAGAAATTAGTGACGAAAAATATATTATTTGTGATGCCTTAATTTCGTCACTGATTGTGACGGACTGAAATTATCCCTCATTAAATATTTTGTGATGTCAATTTTTATAACGAAATCAGTTTTGTCACAAATTCTGTCGCTAATTTGTTTTGTGACTGATTTTATAAAATTTAGTGACAGATTCATTCCCTCTCTAATTTTAATTTTTCTAGTAATAAATTTTTTTCTTTTATATATAAAACTCTTCACTACTCTCTCCCAACGTAACCCTCTTACTCTCCCCCAATGTAACCCTCTTATATTATATTTTAGCACTTTCATATATATATATATATATACTAATAATTAGAGGCAAACAGTGGATATTAGAGGGGACAGAAACACTTCGTAGAATAATATGCAAGATTGAGTAATACCTGTTATATTGACAACTTTCATGCAAAATAAAATATCTCCATTTTTTAGGTTATGGTTATTTCTTTCATAAACTAAAATAAATTACATGAAATTTTAAATATCTCATATTGATACATGACATTGTATTATTTATTTTTGTATTTTTTTTAAAGTCAAAGAAATTATGGATGATGTATTTTATAAAGAATTGAAACTTATTCTTGAAAG